TCCTTATGGAAAGTTGTAACACTTGTTGTTGTAGGATTATCAATGCTAATTTGTTTACTCAATGGGAAAAACGTTATATCATAGTTGTATGAAAGATGTTCATTAGTGTTGTAAGAACATCACTATTTTGTATGGATTTTGTAAGAACTAATTTTGATTGCTATGGAATTAGTATTGGTTGTTATGTAAGATATAATAGTCTTTCAGTTCGTATGGAATGTTTTTATGTTAATGTGTTAATTTTGATTTTGTACTCACATGGAGATTATCTCTCCCAGGATTTAAAGCTTCAGTATGTATGTGAATGTCTTAAGTGGCTGACTTATTGGTGGGAAGCTTCACCCTCCATGCATGGTTTTATATTTGATGGAATGAAATGTTTAAATAGCAGGTGTTTGAGGGATGTGCTTGTTTTATGTCCTAGGCCAACTGTTTATTTTTTTTTTGAATGAAACTATGGAAGTTGATAGAAGAGCTTCACCAAATGAACCACTGTAATGGACTAAATGCAATTTCATTTACTGCCACGGCATAACGTTTACCATCTGTACTCTTTGGATAGCATCGAAATGCATATCCCTTATCCATATCTGATTCACATATATACTCCAAAGTTGCCATATTGTCATGATTCCCTATTCCAGATTTATGTCCTGAATGCATATAACCTTATTTTGTAAACTGCCATATTGAAAACTCAACACAAGTTGCCATATTGTCTCAAACAATGTAATGATGTCATAACCTTTTATTGTAAACTGCCACCATACTAAGGACTGTTTACCCAATAATTAGTACATTTACAAAAGGGGGTTATATCCCATACAAAAGTCAGGCAAAAAACTTAAAAACACCAAAACACAAGCTGCCCAATAGTCTTCTGATTCAAACGATCTTGTCCAGCCACATCTCCACTTTAAACAACTTGTTTAGTTTCCATCTCGGGCTACAAAAAAAGTCAATGTTCAATTCCATTAATAAAAAGAATATGAATACTATTTTCTATTTTTGTTTCAATGAGCAAAAGTTATGTCATACAGACATACACACATATCTTACATCTATAAAAGTTTCCCCGGTTTCAGGCTCCATGTAGGCTCCAAGTAAATGTTAAAATAATTTTAAAACTTCTATCTAGACCATTCAAAATTTTCATAGGCACAGAATATTACAAAGCATCATCATTTTTGCAATTTAAGTTTTGAAGTGTACGTGTGAGTGTTTGTCGATGTGTATTATATAGCAGATCCTAACAACAAAATTATATTCACATCATATTTATATTACTGAATGTATGATACTCCGTATAAAGCAATCTATTCTTGAATGTATGAAGTAAGCAAGGTCTTTTCAAAGTGCTTCCATAGTTCCGTTTAAACTTTCAGATTAGTTTTTTTTCAGTTCCAGTATTATCGTAACCTAAAGCAATAATAACATATATAAAAACGAAGACTAATCGGTCTAGCAGTATCATCGCTACCTAACTTCAAAAATCCCAAAATTGAACCTTAACTAACCTGATATCCAGTAAAACAGCAGTGGTCCGGCTTCGCTCTCACGATGAAATCCGTCCAACATCGTCGTTAGCCATGGAAGCTTTCATTTTTGTGCGCCAAAATAATGAAATATTCAAACGAGATGCCCTAGATACACTCGCAGAAAGGCAGAATGAACGACGGAGGAATTTGGGCGTAATCGTTACCTAATCTGACCTGGACAATGGGTTTGATATTTTAATAATCCGACGTGGCCATATTTTCCATGCTGTCCAATTAATAACTCAAACACCGGGTTTGGCAGGTCACTTTTAGGTAATGTGACTCTTATGATTCTTTTTAATTAGTATGCGTGTGTATCTGATGTTTTTCAGGGTAGAAGGGTTTAAGTGACCGTTTCAAATTAGTATAGGGGCTTATATGACCCTTTTCTCTCCAATTTATATGGAAAATTTCACTAAATGATAAACGACAGTGACATCTGTCCTGAACCCGCCAGACCGGTCGGGGTGGGTGTTACAGAATCTATTAAAAATCAAATTCTTGAACACATTTTACCTTCAATTACATACAAAAAACAAATTTCAAATCATGAAATTATGACCATTACATTATATATACATGATATCCCAATGTTCAAATATCACAAAAATATCCAAGTGTAAACATTAAGTTTAAACATAACAAAAACAAAAGTAGACATCAACTATCAAGCAAAAATGTTTACTAGCTCCAAGATACACCTCCAATATCAGGTAGTTCAACCTCAAAATAATATTCTTCTACTAGTAATGCGTCGTGAGTAAAATGTACGTAGTAATAAACTGACAGGTAGTATTATAATAAAAATATATGCAATATTCCTTTTTAGGTGAACTGAAATAACAAATACAATTACAAACAAACGATAAATATATAAGTGGACTAAAGTAGTAAAATAATAACTACTCGGATTGATCTAGTCCACAATATATAAGACATATTATGCATGACAAATATTCCAGACAAACATTTTCCGCCTAGAACGCCGTGTGGACACCTCCATTTGAGGTGCTTCCGGGTAGAATTTTTTGATGAGATTTTGTTAGCATGTTCTTCATGAAGTGTAGATTATATCTACCAAATTTCAGCTTCAAATTCAATTCGTAAATGAGTTAAATAAAATATTGAAAAACATTGCATTTTGTATATGTATTTTGACGTAGTGTTTTTAAAATTTATTTATCTGACTTTCCGATTGAATTTCAAGCTCAAATTTGGTGGACATAATCTATATTTCTTGAACAACAAGCTCACAAAATTTCATACAAAAATTCCACTCAGAAGCGCCTCAAATGAAGATTACTCATGCAATGTATAAGAAGTTCGGTTCCTGTCTAGGAACCAAAACCGAACCGGAAAAAGCTGAAGTCCAAAACTATATGAACCGAACCGGAAAATTCGGTTCGGTTTGAATCGATTTTCCCGGTTTTACGGTTCCAAGTCCCGGGCCTAAAAAGATGTGGAGAGGACTGCTGGATGCACAATTGCAATCATTACCATGTTTAGTCCATATCTCGAGTGATCTTGGAAAGGAGACGTGGTTCGTGCTTCTTCCATTCTACTTTAAACAATAATAAACCTGCTCATTGATATTTTTACTTAGAGCATGTGTGCTCATGTTTGCCCTGTGTGGCATTTGGTTTTAAACTACACTTTCCGCTGTGTAATGAATTGCATACATTATGTTTGTTTATGAGTGACTTATGTGTGAGTGATATTCATGATGCCTTGCATAGTATGGGTAAACCTCATTAATGACAATGATCAGTTAATTTTAAGGGAAGTGAAAAATCGTAAACCGCGTGGGAATCTTTAAATGCGACGAAAAAAGTATATAATTTAGTTTATTAAAAGTACCAAATTATAACTTTTTGAACAATTATCTTTCCTTTAGAAGTGTAAAATTTGTGAGTACGTACTTCACTGAAGTTAACATTAAATCAGTCATTTTTCTATTAATTAATAGCTTAGCTAGAAGACTTATCTATCATGTGGTAATGTTGAATGAAAATACATTTTTAAAATATTTTAATCAAAATACTAATAAGAAAATTTATTTAACAAATTTTTTAACATTTGGTAATGTTGAATGAAAATACATTTTTAAAATATTTTAATCAAAATAAAAATAAGAAAATTTATTTAACTATTTTTTTTAAAGTTATGCTAATATTTAGTATGATTAAATTTTTTATTTGTAAGTTGTAACAAATCTAAATAAATACGTAGTACATTATATTTTAAATTTTAACTGACTTGCGTTCTTATTGAACTTACCTACATATTTTCCTTATAATACTAGAGAATTCAAAACCAACATAATTATTTAGTTTTTATTACACAATGCAATAGAAATAATAATAATAATAATATAAATAACCACAAAAGAGTCATTTGGGGACTGACCGGCTCCATAGAGCTCTAGGGAGGGCCTAGCCAAAGGGGTAAGAAGAAAAAAAGCAACTCATGTTGGGACCGGTTGGTTGTGCATTGAACTTTATGCAACATGAGACCGTGTTATACGAATTTAGAGTACGGACTCCAGTGTATCTAGAGACCGCCGTCTATCAAGACCGGTGACCAGTCATTAGGCGGGAGAATGAAGGGTTGAAATTGTATTACTTTTATGCACAAGAAAATATATACATTTGAGTTTTTATTTTTAAGTATGTTTTTAACTAGACTAAAATTGTCTAGTCTAATTTGATTTGAGATGGTCTGGTAAATGTGTGATTTCTGTGTATTTTATAACTATAGATATCTAATACCCCGTACTACGTATGTTTAAATTTGATCTGGTCTGAAATGATCTGTTTAAATCTAGGACAGAAAACAGCCAAATAAAAAATATCCGAATAGCGCAGGACAAGTCAAATTGGGTGATGGCCCAGTGGGCTTCTTGTACATTTTTGTGTGATAAATGTGATATGTTTAAATTTGATCGAATTGCGTGATAATGACATGATGTGTGATTTTTGTATATTTTTTAATTATAGAAGTGTGATATGTTTAAATCTGATTGATGTCACGTGATTTGCAACAGCTTCAACTTTTTAAAAAGTACTTTTTTTAATGAAATGGAGAGAAGTGATTAAGTAAAAGTTGATAGTGTTTGAGAAAAAAGTGATTTGAAAAGTAAAAGTGAGTAGTGTTTGGTAAAATAAGTGTTTTTTGTCTAATAGAAAAAGTAAAAGCACTTTTGACGCGGAAGTCGAGAAAAATAAAAGTTGTAGTGTTTGAGAAAACAAGTGCTTTTTTAAAGTCAAAAGCTGATTAGTACTTTTTTTTAAAAGAAGTTGCAAATCAACCAAAGTGAAAATATTCGAAGAGCCACAAGACAACTCGAATTCCGTGATGGCCCAGTGGGCTTCTTGCAGTCTTTGTGCGTGAAACCTAAGAGTCGGAAACCCTAGCTATTAAATACCTCCGTAAGCAGCAGAAGATCTCAGAAGAAGAAAAGAGAAGATGCAGATTTTCGTGAAAACCCTCACGGGCAAGACAATCACCCTTGAGGTTGAGTCTAGTGACACCATCGACAATGTCAAGGCTAAGATTCAAGACAAGGAAGGTGCGTGTGTATTTAATCTCTTGGTGGCCTATGCATCCATTTCACTTCATCGTGAAGAAATATATATTTTCATTTCGTTTGAATTTAATTTGATACATCGTGTGTTAGGAATTCCACCGGATCAGCAGAGGCTGATTTTTGCTGGGAAGCAGCTGGAAGATGGCCGTACCCTCGCTGATTACAACATTCAGAAAGGTACATGTGACTTCAACGTTTTGGGTTTTGATTCTCTAGTAAATTCGTTTCTGTTGTATTCTTAATTTGGGATTGGAACAGAGTCTACCCTGCATCTGGTGTTGAGGCTTCGTGGAGGAATTATTGAACCGTCTTTGGTAGCTTTGGCTAGAAAGTTTAACCAAGAAAAAACGATATGCCGCAAGTATGTTCTTATACTATCATATTTATTTGATTTGAGTTTGCGTTTTAGGTCCCTTGTCTATATGCTTGTTTGGAAATCAATTTCTCCTAATAGTTTTAGTTTGTGCTCCCATTAAGAAAAAAGCAGCTTGGTGAAATGTACATTCGTGGCCTTGCCGAAGAGCATTTAGTGTTTTTCCATTCTAATTTGTGTTCAATGCATACAGGTCTCAGCGTCTATTTAAAAAATGGCTGTCATTTCTAATTAAAAAATCTGTGTTATATACTCTGTATGTATTATAAGAATTATACCCTGAATCTATTATATTGAGTGAGGTTTTGTACTTCTTAGTTATGTATGATACGGAGTATATTAGATCAATTTACACCAATACTATTTAAATTATTATGTATGGTCCGGCTGTATCGATATGGGTTTATTCGATTAGTTTTTCTTTGGATGAATGTGTTTATTCGATTAGTTATATCTTACTTATGTGGTCTGTGACTTTAGTTTGTACTACGTACTTGATATATGGACCTAACTAGTATACCTATTCTTTGAATACATTTTACAAAAGTTGTATAGCGTTCAGTACTAATTCTAGTTTATCGTAATAATATACTCCGTAATAAACATGTGTCTAAACTGAAAAATACTAGTATTAAAACATTGGTGTAAATTGATCTAGTATGATATGTTATTGAATCATTTCTTTCTATATGAATTTCAACACACTGATTTCATTTTCTTACACTCTAGAAAGTCTAAATGGCAAGGGATAAATTGGGACGTAGGGATCATTTTAACTGTTGAAGTCATTCAGGATCTGATGCTGCTTTTTTTCATTAGGTGCTATGCTCGCTTGCACCCTCGAGCTGTCAACTGCCGCAAGAAGAAGTGTGGGCATAGCAATCAGGTTTTGTTTGTGTTTTACTAGCCCTATTTTATTAGTAGCTTTTGTCATTCATTTATAGACATAGACTCAATGTCATTTTCATATTTTTGGGCGCAGTTGAGGCCAAAGAAGAAGATCAAGTAGATGATGCATCTGAAGGTTTTCAGGGCCATTGTTGGGTCTGCTTCACTGTTGTCTGTATGTTTTGTGTTGTCTTAAATTATCGATATGGATCTTGGTACTCTAAAATGTAATTGCATCAAGTTTGATGCTGTTTTATTCCTGTTTTTGTTGAACTTTTTAGCAAACTTTTAACATTATATGCACATCGCGTTCAAATGCGATTACTATTTACTACTACTATTAAATCTAAGATGCTTGGAATGCACGCTCATTAGTGTGCCGGTTTGAACTTTGAAATCCAAACTATTAGTGAGCTCCCACATTGTAAATTTCACATGTTAAAATAAATAATTTTTTTTGAAAGGAGGGGGATTTATGTACTGCCTTCCAGGCTTCCACCACCCCAAAATAAGCTCCCAATTCAAAAGAGGGGATGTAACTCCTGAAAGTGGAGAACTAAAGAGGTTTTTGTGTTTGGCTAGAGGAAAAGGGATGAAAGTTTAATTGAATGAATTTCTTAATTATCATTATTCATAAAATCACTTTCATGTTTTTTTTAACTTGAAAATTTTACTTTTATTTTTTGTTTTTACTTTTGTAATTGAAAATTTTACTTTTGTAATTGAAAGTTTTAAATTTTTGTTTTTACTTTTGTAATTGAAAATTTTAAATTTTCAAATTTTTTTTTTAAAATATTTGAACTTTTGATCCTTTAAGCTTTTAACCTTTAAAACTTACTATGTATAAGTATGTGTGACTCGGGCCGGTTTGGGCCCGGCACGGGCCTCTGGTTCAGGAATGGGGGGCCCGGAACCGGTTCTGGGCCGGGCCTTGGGCCTTAGTTATTTTTTTGTTTCTCTTTTCCTAGTTAACCCCCAACCCTCCCCATCACGCCCAAACCATCCCAAATTGTCCAAAATACCTAGTCCAACCCAAAAAGTAAAAAAAATTGAAAAAAAAATTAAAAAGGCCTGGAACCGGGCCCGAACCTGCCGGGCCGGTTTGTGATTTGGGGGGCTGAGCCTGGACCAGACCCCCAACGGGTCGGGCCTACCCGGACCGGTCATTGACCGGGCCACCGGGCCGGAACAGTGCCGGGCCGAGCCGGTTCTGGGTTGGGTCACCCGGCCCGAGTCCACCTCCATGTGGCTACGTATAAGTATACAAGTCTTTCAGTCTTTAAGTATTTAGATTGCTAAGTTTTCACGTTTATAGATTTTTAAGTTTTTAAACTTATAAATTTTAAATTTTTTTATATTTTATAAAGTTTTAAAATTTAAATTTTTTGTTTTTACAAATTTTGGATCTTTCTGTTTTTATTCTTTCAGTTGAGTTTTTAGAAGATGTTTCAAGTCTTCGGTTTTTTTTTCTGTTAACAATACATGTCCTCCGAATTACCTTGATTTGGATTTTGGGGAATTGGTGGTGGGAAAGAGACAAATAAGCTGTTCTCTTCGCCTGATCTGAATGTTTCTGATCTGAATTTTTTAAGTTCTGATCTGATCTGAATTTTTCTGATCTGATCTGAATCTTTTTGATCTGATCTGATCTAATCTGAATCTTTCTGATCTGATCTGATCTGAATCTTCCTGATCTGATCTGAATGTTTCTGATCTGATCTGATCTGAATGTTTTTGATCTGATCTGAATCCTTCTGATCTGAATCTTTCTGATCTGATCTGATTTGAATATTTCTATGATTATAATTATAATTATAATTATTATAATTGCAATTACAAATATAACTTAAATAAAATTATAATTATAATCGTAACTATAAAAATAATAATAATAATTAAAATTGAATTTAAAATGAAAAAATTTATACATATTACACTAATTATAAATATAGATATAATTATAATTGTAATTATATTTTTAATTATAATTACTTATATAATTATAATTGTAATTATAATTACAATATTTATCTCTATAATTGTAACTATAGTTATCAATATTATTATAATTACTCCGTAAAATAATTACAATAGTAACAATAATAATTTTAATAATTACAATAAAAATAATAATTATAATCATAAATTATAACTATAATATAATTATAAGTATATTTATAATTAATAATAATTACATTTACATTAATTATAATAATATTATAATATAATAATAGTAATATAAATACAATTAATATTATTATAACGATATTATTATATTAATATTATTATTAAAATAACATAATAATAATAATAATAATAATATTATTATTATAATTAGTATTATATTATTATAATATTATATTATAATTATAATTATAATCATAATCATAATTATGATTGTAATTATAATTATTATAATTATAATTAATTACAATTATAATTATAATTAATTATAGATATAATTATAATAATTACAATTGATATACTTATAATTATAAGAATTATAATTGTAAGTATAATTATAATTACATATAATTACAATATAATATTATAATAATATTAATCATATTATTATTATTATAATATTGTAATAATAATAATAGTCTTCTTAATAATTGCATTTATATTACTATTATTATATTCAAATATTATAACTATATTAATATCTTATTTTTTTATTATATTATTATTAATATTATTAATAATAATTATATAATAATAATCATAATAGTAATAACAATATTAAAAATAATAATTAATATAATAATAAAAGTGATAAATCATGTTTGAACTTTTCTGATCTGATCTGATCTGATCTGATCTGAATGTTTCTGATCTGATCTGAATGTTTCTGATCTGATCTGAATCTTTCTGATCTGATCTGATCTGAATTTTTCTGATCTGATCTGATCTGAATTTTTCTGATCTGATTTGATCTGATCTGAATAAAATAAGAATAAGTAATAAGTAATAAGAATAAGACGAACAGAACAGCACCAAAGTGTAGGATTTTGAAAGTTACCATCTTTCCCCTCATTTCCTCCTGTTTCTTGTAACAAAAAGTTCAAAAACACGCCCAAATCCTTCAATCACCTCCCCTTCCCTCAATTTTTTTTTTTACAACCAAACAGGGCCGGCCTTAAGCTTTCGTTTCAACTCTGTAGTGTGTGACTACAAAAAGTTTTCAAATCACAGTGAATTTTTTTTATAAATGTAAAAAGGTACGTTAGGAGAATTCTTGCATTGCTGTTGGAAGTTGGAAGTAGGACAATACCATAAATATAAATAAACCTTTAACAAAACTTATAAATAAGTGATGTAGCTATGTAATAAATAACTTGAGTAACATGATGTGATTTGGGAAGAGCCATGGCTGCTTGATAGTTGATACATCAAGTCCTTATGTGGTTATGTTGCAAGGGCTCGTTTAGGGAGAGGGTTGGAGGTGGGATGATGTTTTGGTAGATATATCCTGGAGAACTGGGATAGGGAGCTAGTTACAAGTATACCTCCGAGTGTGAGGAAAGTTCTAGACAAGGTGATTTGGGGGTGGGAACAAAATGGCGTTTATTCGGGTAAAAGTTATTATTCGGGTAAAATGGCGTTTTCGGTTGGTAAGTCGAGTCCTCATAGGGCCAGTAGGTTTCATCCTCGGTGTCAACATGACCGTCGCTCACGGTGTGCGATCGGCCTCCACGGCTCGCCCCTCTAGACACTCTAGAGGCCCCACGGCTTCCCTGCCCGGTCGCCACCGGTGCATGGCCCGTCGGGTTCCTTCTCGTAACCTTGCCACCACCGTCCATTTCTGAAAGAAATTCGGAAAGAGTCGTTAGACTCGTATCAAATGTCAATTGACGGATAGGTACTTAAGACACATTTTGGCTCGAGTCACCGCCATACCAATTGCTAAGGGTACCATCTTAACAATTAGAGACCTTGCAACCCAAGTACCAAAAGCTCTCCAAGTACAAAACTTCTATGCTCATGGTTTTCAAAATCTTTTCAAAAGAGAATTTTGAGACTTCATTATGAAGTTTATGGACTAAGGCTCTGATACCAATTAAATTGTCACGCCCCGGACCTGCCCGGACACGTCAACAACCCGCCGTACAACACGAATAGTCAACCACAGTCAAGCACATCCATATTATACAAGGCGTCTCGAATATCATTCACCCGTAAGCCATCCATAAACAACATAATAAGCAATCGAATACGTAGCGGAAAACATAGTTTGAAAACAAGTGCCACACGTGGCAAACATGAGCACGCAGGCTCTATAGTAAAATATTCATGAGCATGTTTATTAATGTTTAAAAACAGAATGGAGGAAGCACGAACCAAGTCTTCCCTGCTAGATGATCTCTCGAACAACGAGCACAGGAAGCAAGCCCTAGCCTCAACCTGAAAAATGGTAGTGGGACGCCCCCGAAGGGGTCAACACTCTATAGGGCTATAAAGTGCTGGTGTGGATGGCATCTAATAGATATACAACAAGTATTTCAAACACAAGACCCTCAAATAGGGTGATAATATAATCTAGGCCGTAACCCACAGTTACCCCTTTTCAAAATATACTTACTTTATATATAAAGTCAAGTAGTCGGCCCGTAGGCCCAAGGTTTGTTTACCAAACGTAGCCCAAACCCCGTGACCCCTAGTCACAACAATACATAGGGTTCAACCCTAACACATATGTTTGCATTCTCGAGTCCAACTCGACTACATCACCATGCACCTTATTTAACACAAGTTAACTACTCCACCGTGCATTTCTTGAGTCCAACTCAACTACATCACCATGCACAACAATCACCCCATCATGTCTACCCAATGCAATTCTATGAGCACGGGCTCAAGTACATCTCCTTACATTGGCATAGACCCCAATTCCTAAGCACTTGCTATGCCTAGAATTGTAGTAACAATAATCTATTTTGGGACATCCTTACGGGCTGCCCAACCATGGTCTTAGCATCACATTACATCAAATTAGCCACTTGCATCACAATCAAGTACATCAATTACATTCAAATCCTTAGATTCAATTCCTTAACAATTACAACAATCATTAACTAGTATTTCAATACTATTAAGATTATTCTTATCCATCATATATTCCATTTGTAAAACCCTACATATTTAGAGATATGTAGCAGCAACTAAATCATCCAATGTAATACATAAATAATCATTTATGTATCTACACAATTCACACATGAGTAAAATGCCTATTTCACACATTAGTTCATTTAACTCCATTTTTATCAATACTTTACCAAATCATTTCCCATTTCATTCTTTGGAAAATAGATCAATATTCCATCACCAATTTATCATCATAATCCATGGAAAACATGATTTAGGCATTTAGGTAATCTTATGCTTAACCTACAAGTTGTAAGCAACTAGATGTCGATCCTCACCTTAATTGAGCTTTAAACTTTTCCTTCTTGATCCAATGGTCAAAGCTTTGGCCAAGGTGGATTAAGAACTGATTCCTTGCTTAAATATGAGTGTTAAACAGCCTCCTCAAAGTGCTAGCTCAACCCCCAAACGTTGATACGAAAACAGCCCCTAGAATGGGTGTTTTCCGGTTAACTCGTTTCCTAGTTTTTCCAAGATTTGCTCTAGGTTAGTATCTAACCTTTACATCAATAAAATAACTTTATAAGGACATATTATACACTTGGATTAGTTTACAATAGTTCCACCAATCGTTCATATCATTTGGAAAATGAAAGGAAAGGTTTTGGGGTTAACAACTCACTTTAGAAGTGTAGATCCGTTTCTGCGAGGTTGCGTTTTTCTCGGACGATTTGGAAGCCTTACACTACTCCGATTGATGCAAACCAGACCTTCACGGATTCCTCGTCTTGAGATCTTTCTTTTGGTATCTTACACGCCTTAATTGGATTGGTATAACTCGAGATATCAGACAAACAGCTTCAACACTCTCACTGCTCGAGTTTACAGACAGCAGTTCACTCCAGCTCGGTTGTGGGATAAACTCTCCCTTCTCGAACAGAGACCACTCAAATAAGAAACTAGACTTCAAAGGCTATCCAAGGACACCTCAATCAATCTATTTGGATGAGTATAACTCCCATAATGAAGGGAGACAAAACAGCACACCAGTTTGTGCGAAAATAGTGATGGTGGCCCCAAATTTTGATTCCAATTGTGTCATGTGCAGTTCTTCTCCATGTGGTGCGGCCAAGGTGAGTCTTCTCACATATTGTCTTTGTCTTGCAGGTACTCAAGCCACATGGAATGCTCCCCAATTGATCTCAATCAATTTGAGGTCCAAAATATCTACAAATACTCCCGAAAATGGAAAGATGGGTCCTATTGTTTTATCTTTTGTCAAAGATGTCTTTTTGCACTCATCCTAATTTATTTAGAACAAGTCAACTTCCTTAATCACATTATTGATCTCCAATATGTGTAGGTTCATCTCAATAATTTACTTGATGGATATCATAGAAGGAAAAATCTCACTCCCATTATTTAGTTCAATAATGTCAAAGATGAGGCTATAGGTATTTGTATTCTTCTCCAATCATTCTATCACTTATTTTGACATTTGTCATACATATTATTGGGCTCCTAGCCGTGTGGGTCACTCCCGAGTGGGTCTAGGATGCCATTCTCGAATACTTGCTATTTTTAGCAGGTTGGGCCCAAAATAATATTTGGGTCGCCCGACCTTCCTCAAATTGTCTTGAAAGGTTAAGTAACAATATTTAAGTAAGGCCCAAATAAGTATTTGCAAAACCCGACACTAATATACGAGTTTGAACAGTATAATAATCGATCATTAATTACGTGAAACAACAATCGTTTTACAATTGTTTGGGAATCGGAAATTCAATACATAAACTTTGAATGTTTAAATTGAATTTTCAAGGATGTTCGGGTGCGGTGTCACAAGTTCACCCCCCCTTAACAGGAATTTCGTCCCCGAAATTCACAGCTCTATTCGAATAGGAAAGCATACTGCTTCCTCATCAAAGCCTCTGTTTCCCATGTCTCCTCTTCGACCCGATCGCTCTTCCAAAGGACTTTAACCATTGGGACTTCTTTACTTCTCAGTTTCTTCACCTTTCTATCGATAACCTTGATTGGTTGCACAGCGTAGTTCAAATCCTCACGTACCTCTACAGGCGGCTTTTCCAATACGTGAGAGGGATCATGCACATACTTCTTAAGCATGGATACATGAAACACATTATGTATCTTCTCTAACTCAGGAGTCAACTGTAGACGATATGCTACGGCCCCAATCCTCTCTATAATTCTGAATGGACCTATATATCGTGGGTTAAGCTTTCCTCGGGTTTGGAATCGAATGATTCCTTTCCAAGGAGAAACTTTCAAGAATACTTCGTCATCAACCTTAAACTCTAAGGTTCTTCGACGCTTATCTGCATAACTCTTTTGTCTATCCTGAGCCGCTTTGAGTCTCTCTCGAATCAACTTCACCTTTGACTTGGTGACTTCAACCAACTCAGTACCCCCGAGTTTGGCCATGCCAACCTCGTCCCAGCATAACGGTGTACGGCACCTCCTCCCATACAATGCCTCGTATGGAGGCATACCGATGCTTGCCTGATAACTGTTGTTATAGGCAAATTCCACAAGTGCTAAGTGGTTGTCCCAACTTCCTTGGAATTCCAATGCACAAGCCCTCAGCATGTCTTCTAGGATCTGTATGACTCTTTCAGACTGCCCATCCGTCTGTGGGTGGAAAGCAGTACTGAACTTCAACCTCGTTCCCATAGACTCCTGAAATTTCGGCCAAAAACGTGATGTGAATCGTGGGTCTCTATCGGATACAATGGTCACTGGAACCCCATGTAGCCTCACGATCTCATCCGTATACAATTTGGCTAACCTCTCAAGTGGGTAAGTAGTGTTGATAGGTAAGAAGTGTGCACTCTTCGTGAGCCTATCTACAACAACCCAAACTGCATCATAGTTCCTGATTGTCCGTGGTAAACCTACCACGAAATCCATAGTCACGTGTTCCCATTTCCATTCAGGAATGGAAAGTGGTTGCAATATGCCTGCTGGATGCTGATGTTCCGCCTTAACTTGTTGACAAGTAAGGCATCGACTGATGTATTCGGCTATTTCCCTCTTCATTCCAGACCACCAGTAACTTTCTTTCAAATCTCGGTACATTTTCGTGCCCCCTGGGTGCATGGCATAAGCCGATGAATGAGCCTCCTCTAAGATGGACTTTCGGAGCTCATCATCTGACGGTACACACACTCGGTCACGAAATAACAAGAGACCATCATCTCTTTCCCTGAAATCCTCCACCGGTCCCGCTTGCATGCGTTCCCGGACCTTCATAAGTTCTGCGTCAGTCTCTTGACCCTTTTTGATCTCATCAAGTAAGGTCGGTCTCACTTCAAATCGTGCCAATAAGGCACCATTGCTCGATACATCCAATTGGGCCCTCAGTGCCCTCAAACTAGTCAACAATGCCCTAGACGAACTTTTCCGACTGAGGGCATCTGCTACAATGTTTGCCTTACCTCGATGGTACTCAATAACTAGATGGTAGTCCTTTATCAACTCCATCCACCGTCTCTGTCTCATGTTTAACTCTTTCTGAGTAAACACGTACTTCAAGCTCTTATGATCAGTATAAATGTGACATGTCTCTCCGTAGAGATAATGTCTCCAAATCTTCAGTGCGAACACCACTGCTCCCAACTCTAGATCATGGGTAGGGTAATTTACTTCATGCTTCTTCAACTGTCGTGAAGCATAGGCCATTACCCTCCCTTCCTGCATCAATACACATCCAAACCCTTGGATGCTCGTGTCACTATAGACATCGTACCCCATACCCTGTTTGGGTAATGCAAGTACCGGTGCCTCGGTCAATCTCTTCTTTAGTTCAATGAACCCTTTCTCACATTTGTCATCCCATACAAACTTAGCTCCTTTACGAGTGAGCTTCGTCAACGGTGATGCCAAAACGGAGAACTTTTCCACGAACTTTCTGTAGTAGCCTGCCAACCCAAGGAAACCACGAATTTCCTTGACGTTCTTTGGCCTCTCCCATTCGGTAATGACTTCTATCTTCTTGCTATCAACAGCAATTCCCGATCCCGAAACTACATGCCCGAGAAAGCCAATTTCCTTTAGCCAAAATTCACATTTAGAAAATTTGGCATAGAGTTGCTTCTCCCGTAGTGTCTCAAGGACGAGTATCAAGTGCTCCTCATGTTCTTCTTCACTCCTTGAGTAAATCAGGATGTCATCTATGAACACAATCACGAATCGGTCCAAGTATTTATGAAATACTCGGTTCATCAAGTCCATGAATGCCGCTGGGGCATTTGTTAACCCAAACGACATAACAAGGAATTCAAAGTGCCCATACCTTGTGCGAAACGCACTTTTACGTATGTCATCTTCCTTAATCTTCAATTGATGGTAACCCGACCTCAAGTCAATCTTTGAAAACACGGTTGCCCCTCGTAGTTGATCAAACAAGTCATCAATCCTAGGCAAAGGATACCTATTCTTGATTGTGACCTTGTTCAGTTGACGATAGTCAATACACATTCGAAGTGTCCCATCTTTCTTTTTCACAAAAAGAGCTGGTGCTCCCCACGGGGAGTGGCTTGGTCTAATGAAACCATTATCCAAAAGCTCTTGCAATTGGGTTTTCAACTCGTTAAGTTCAGCGGGTGCCATACGGTATGGCGGTATGGAGATTGGTTTGGTACCAGGCTCGACCTCGATCACAAATTCAATCTCCCTATCATGTGGAAGCCCAGGTAGGTTTTTAGGGAAGACATCCGGATACTTACAAACCACCCTCACGTCGTCGATGTTCGTTTCCTCCTTGGTTTTGTCAACCACGTATGCTAGATATGCGTGACATCCCTTTCTCATCATACTTCTCGCTCTCACAGCGGATATGATACACCTGTTTGATTTGCCTCGGTCCCCCTCGAAGCGTAGGGTGTCCCCATCATTGCCTTCGAGTTCCAAGACCTTTGTGTAGCAATCTACCCTAGCATGATGCTTTTCTAGCCAATCCATCCCTAGGATTGCATCGAACTCCATCATACTCAGCAGTACGAAATCACACGTCAAGGTTTGGCCACCGATTTCCACCATACAAGATGGATAGTAATTGGTTCTTTCAACGTCTTCCCCTAGTGGTGTTGATACTACTAAAGTTTGCGTCATTGGTATTGATTGTATCTCTAAGCCCTCAGCGAACGCCTCACTCACGAATGAACGTTTCGCTCTGGTATCGATAAGGATTCGTGCGTCCTTCCCATTAATTTTTAATGTTCCTACATGTATAAGCCATGTAAGACACCACTCTTAACGTGTCTAAACTTTATTTAGGGTTAGGGTGCATTTACCGTTCAAACGGGGTGGGTCCCGCTTTGTTACGAAAAGTTTTCGGCCAAAAAAGACTTCGGACCGGCGCCGGTTTAGGCCTGACCGGCGCCGGTTGCCCGGGTTAAACGTCCCAGCTGCACCGGTCATAATGGGCCGGTTCCAAACAGGCTCACTCCAGGGAAGGTCCGGCACCGGTTGGGTGGGTTTCGAGGCCAGCAGCGCCAGTTATGGAGGGCCGGTTCAACACAGGCTCATCCCAGGGGCGATCCTGCGCCGGTTGGCCTGTGGTCGGCGCTGGTTGGCTGAAAAAAATGCCCCGGTTGTGCGCCGGTTGGGGAGGGCCGGTCGCACACAGGCTGCCTCATAGGCATGTCCGGCGCCGGTTAGCCTTGGACCGGCGCCGGTTGGGGCGAGTAATTTGACAATACTTCGTTTTTGTGAGTCGGAATGCCCGGTTTTGTCCCTACGGTGGCCGGGCCTTAACTCCTAAATCATATACACCTTAAATAAGGCTAAAATACCACACTTTAATGAGATGAATACCTGCAACGGAATCCGGGTTCGCTCGAGCATCCGCCTCCGTCATCGCATAGACTCTAGCTTGAGTCCTTCCTTGATTCACGGATGGCGCGTTGCTCGCGCTTGCTCCCCCATGTCCCCGGCTTGCTTGAGAAGCCCCAGTTTGATTCCGTGTACCCGTCGGACCACTGCTTGGTCCCGATGTCCTTGCCCCGCTCAGTTGTGGGCAACTCATCTTCATGTGCCCGGTGCTCCCGCATTGGTAGCATCTAGGAGGGTCACGACATTTCCTCAGGTGGTTCCTCTTGCAATTCTTGCAACGAGTCACCCCCGAGGCTTGCGATTGCCCGCCCGGGCCTTGACTTCCCCTAGGTGGCAGTGGGGGTGTCCGAAAAGATCCTCCTCCTCCATGGTTACCCTTTTTGTTAGGACCCTAAGGTCCATGGTTCTCCCACTTCCTCTTCTTCGCCTCTTCGGCGTTTTTCAACTTTCTTTCTTCCCATTCATTCTCTCCTTTCAATCCCTGCTCAACCACTTGGCTAAAGGTCATGTTAGGCAACTGTGTTGCCCTCTCACGCACCTCCAAGTCTAAGGCATCCCAGAAGTGATTTACCATCCGGTTCTCGTCACAGACATACTCCGGTATGAACTCTGCGAGCTCCCTGAATTAATGTTCAAGTTGCCTCACCGTCATTTTGCCACCTTGGGTCAGGAGGGTATACTCTCTCCTCTTAGCCTGCACCTCAAAATCAGAATAGTATTGGGCAAAGAACTTCTGTCGGAAATTCTCCCAAGTCACGGTATTGCCATACTTTCCCTTGGCTCCGTCCCACCATGTGGATGCCATCCTTCAAGCAATCTCACCGCCACCCTTAGTTTAACTTCGGGGGTGAGTTGCATATCAAGGGCTGCTTCGTTCAACCTCTTGATCCATTCTGCGGCGACCGAGATGTCACCTGCTCCGTTGAAGGGTTTGCACCCCAAGTCTCTCGCCTCTTTGAGAAATTTCGAGATCCTTACGATTGGACCTCCGTCACCCCGGCCCCCATGTGGTTCAATGTGGGCCCTAGAGTCGCCATAGCTTCTTCCTCTTGAAGCCCCACCCGAAGTTCGCCCTCCTCGGCGCCTTCGGCGTTACCTCCTTTCCTCGCGCTCCCGCTGATATTGCTGGAGCAGCGCCTCAATTCTTGCTAGGGAGTCATTCTCCCCTTCTTCATCACTTACATCATCGTCATCCCCTTCATAAGGGGTCTCAACCGGCTCGGTTTCTGGTTGGTAAGTCGAGTCCTCATAGGACCAGTAGGTTTCATCCTCGGTGTCAACATGACCGTCGCTCACGGTGTGCGATCGGCCTCCACGGCTCGCCCCTCTAGACACTCTAGAGGCCCCACGGCTTCCCTGCCCGGTCGCCACCGGTGCAGGGCCCGTCGGGTTCCTTCTCGTAACCTTGCCACCACCGTCCATTTCTGAAAGAAATTCGGAAAGAGTCGTTAGACTCGTATCAAATGTCAATTGACGGATAGGTACTTAAGACACATTTTGGCTCGAGTCACCGCCATACCAATTGCTAAGGGTACCATCTTAACAATTAGAGACCTTGCAACCCAAGTACCAAAAGCTCTCCAAGTACAAAACTTCTATGCTCATGGTTTTCAAAATCTTTTCAAAAGAGAATTTTGAGACTTCATTATGAAGTTTATGGACTAAGGCTCTGATACCAATTAAATTGTCACGCCCCGGACCTGCCCGGACACGTCAACAACCCGCCGTACCACACGAATAGTCAACCACAGTCAAGCACATCCATATTATACAAGGCGTCTCGAATATCATTCACCCGTAAGCCATCCATAAACAACATAATAAGCAATCGAATACGTAGCGGAAAACATAGTTTGAAAACAAGTGCCACACGTGGCAAACATGAGCACGCAAGCTCTATAGTAAAATATTCATGAGCATGTTTATTAATGTTTAAAAACAGAATGGAGGAAGCACGAACCAAGTCTTCCCTGCTAGATGATCTCTCGAACAACGAGCACAGGAAGCAAGCCCTAGCCTCAACCTGAAAAATGGTAGTGGGACGCCCCCGAAGGGGTCAACACTCTATAGGGCTATAAAGTGCTGGTGTGGATGGCATCTAATAGATATACAACAAGTATTTCAAACACAAGACCCTCAAATAGGGTGATAATATAATCTAGGCCGTAACCCACAGTTACCCCTTTTCAAAATATACTTACTTTATATATAAAGTCAAGTAGTCGGCCCGTAGGCCCAAGGTTTGTTTACCAAACGTAGCCCAAACCCCGTGACCCCTAGTCACAACAATACATAGGGTTCAACCCTAACACATATGTTTGCATTCTCGAGTCCAACTCGACTACATCACCATGCACCTTATTTAACACAAGTTAACTACTCCACCGTGCATTTCTTGAGTCCAACTCAACTACATCACCATGCACAACAATCACCCCATCATGTCTACCCAATGCAATTCTATGAGCACGGGCTCAAGTACATCTCCTTACATTGGCATAGACCCCAATTCCTAAGCACTTGCTATGCCTAGAATTGTAGTAACAATAATCTATTTTGGGACATCCTTACGGGCTGCCCAACCATGGTCTTAGCATCACATTACATCAAATTAGCCACTTGCATCACAATCAAGTACATCAATTACATTCAAATCCTTAGATTCAATTCCTTAACAATTACAACAATCATTAACTAGTATTTCAATACTATTAAGATTATTCTTATCCATCATATATTCCATTTGTAAAACCCTACATATTTAGAGATATGTAGCAGCAACTAAATCATCCAATGTAATACATAAATAATCATTTATGTATCTACACAATTCACACATGAGTAAAATGCCTATTTCACACATTAGTTCATTTAACTCCATTTTTATCAATACTTTACCAAATCATTTCCCATTTCATTCTTTGGAAAATAGATCAATATTCCATCACCAATTTATCATCATAATCCATGGAAAACATGATTTAGGCATTTAGGTAATCTTATGCTTAACCTACAAGTTGTAAGCAACTAGATGTCGATCCTCACCTTAATTGAGCTTTAAACTTTTCCTTCTTGATCCAATGGTCAAAGCTTTGGCCAAGGTGGATTAAGAACTGATTCCTTGCTTAAATATGAGTGTTAAACAGCCTCCTCAAAGTGCTAGCTCAACCCCCAAACGTTGATACGAAAACAGCCCCTAGAATGGGTGTTTTCCGGTTAACTCGTTTCCTAGTTTTTCCAAGATTTGCTCTAGGTTAGTATCTAACCTTTACATCAATAAAATAACATTATAAGGACATATTATACACTTGGATTAGTTTACAATAGTTCCACCAATCGTTCATATCATTTGGAAAATGAAAGGAAAGGTTTTGGGGTTAACAACTCACTTTAGAAGTGTAGATCCGTTTCTGCGAGGTTGCGTTTTTCTCGGACGATTTGGAAGCCTTACACTACTCCGATTGATGCAAACCAGACCTTCACGGATTCCTCGTCTTGAGATCTTTCTTTTGGTATCTTACACGCCTTAATTGGATTGGTATAACTCGAGATATCAGACAAACAGCTTCAGCACTCTCACTGCTCGAGTTTACAGACAGCAGTTCACTCCAGCTCGGTTGTGGGATAAACTCTCCCTTCTCGAACAGAGACCACTCAAATAAGAAACTAGACTTCAAAGGCTATCCAAGGACACCTCAATCAATCTATTTGGATGAGTATAACTCCCATAATGAAGGGAGACAAAACAGCACACCAGTTTGTGCGAAAATAGTGATGGTGGCCCCAAATTTTGATTCCAATTGTGTCATGTGCAGTTCTTCTCCATGTGGTGCGGCCAAGGTGAGTCTTCTCACATATTGTCTTTGTCTTGCAGGTACTCAAGCCACATGGAATGCTCCCCAATTGATCTCAATCAATTTGAGGTCCAAAATATCTACAAATACTCCCGAAAATGGAAAGATGGGTCCTATTGTTTTATCTTTTGTCAAAGATGTCTTTTTGCACTCATCCTAATTTATTTAGAACAAGTCAACTTCCTTAATCACATTATTGATCTCCAATATGTGTAGGTTCATCTCAATAATTTACTTGATGGATATCATAGAAGGAAAAATCTCACTCCCATTATTTAGTTCAATAATGTCAAAGATGGGGCTATAGGTATTTGTATTCTTCTCCAATCATTCTATCACTTATTTTGACATTTGTCATACATATTATTGGGCTACTAGCCGTGTGGGTCACTCCCGAGTGGGTCTAGGATGCCATTCTCGAATACTTGCTATTTTTAGCAGGTTGGGCCCAAAATAATATTTGGGTCGCCCGACCTTCCTCAAATTGTCTTGAAAGGTTAAGTAACAATATTTAAGTAAGGCCCAAATAAGTATTTGCAAAACCCGACACTAATATACGAGTTTGAACAGTATAATAATCGATCATTAATTACGTGAAACAACAATCGTTTTACAATTGTTTGGGAATCGGAAATTCAATACATAAACTTTGAATGTTTAAATTGAATTTTCAAGGATGTTCGGGTGCGGTGTCACACGGAGTTACAAAGCCTTGGGCGAGTTTGTGTTCCGCAAGGGAAGCGGATGTGGTGGGTATTCAGGAGGCACTTAGTTGGTTGAAACATCGTGTTGAGGTTTAATCCCGAAGATCCGAAAGCCCAACACAAGCTTTGGATATTTAGGGACGTTAGGTTGGTTTGGAAAGTGTATAAAATATAAAGCAGTGAAAGATTACTCAACTTAGGAGCTAACTTGTAGTTAGTAATGCTGCGATTACACTGGACTACCCGAACGGTAGGTAAGTACAAGAATACAAGAATAAGAAAGATAATTCTAACTGCTAAGCTCTGAGTATCAAAATGCTAACCCTTTGCAATGTTCTTAATGCAGGTATTTATACTAGAATGAGGATGAGTAAACTGGACACGTGGCTGAATCCGGTAGGCTGTAACCTCTCCTACGTATGCACCCGTGCCTCCACTTGTTGCTGCCATGCTTTAGCATTAAATGCGGCCTCCACTTGCTGACTACCCGTTCAGGTAGGGCGTTCGGTGTGCGGGACCCCGCCATGGGTGTTTAGGTGTCAGTGTTTCCTGAAATACTCCAAGTAGAAGAACTGTACCGAATGCCGATCGGGGGTCTGGACTGCTCTGGGCCTTATGTTTCCTCCTGACTCCCCCATACTTTGGGCCGGGGGTATTGGGCCTGGACCCAATATCCCAACACATCGAAATTTGACATTTTGTGGACATGAAATCAAATGCTTTCCAAGTTATAGGGGTGCTTGGATCTGATTCGTAAAACTGCTTATACTGTTTCAGAGAGCAGAAGTTGGAATGTTTGGAAAGTGCAAAAGTGATTATGGTGCTCTAATTTACTCTTAGAATCAATTTTTTTAGAAACTGGGGGTGATCAACTTCTGAAAACTGATTCTGCTTCTGCTTCAAAAAAGAAGCAGAAACAGAATAGTTCCAAACACCCCATAAATGAAGTCTAATCAGGCATTTGTAAAACAACATTTGGTCTTCTTGGTTTACCAGCATATAGAAAACATTGACACTAGTTTTACCTAGGGGTGGGCACGGGCCGGAACGATCCGGGAAATTAGTAAAACCCGTAATGTATCCGTGGGGTTTCTTACGGTCCGGTACGGTTCTAAGGATGGAACCATTCGGTACCATGTCGTTTCGGAACGGTACAAAACGGTACGGTACAATGCCAAACACATGCTAAAAATTGGACAAATCTTGCAATTAATAAATAATAACATCACACCAACCAACTCACATTAAGTATTGATATAAATACAAGAAATTGCATACGTAGTACTAAAGTTCACAAATACATGCACAAATAGTGCAACACAACTAAGAAAAGGTATAGCAAAATGATGATACACGAGATAAATATTGCCTTTCCACTACCAAAAAAACGCGTTTTTGGCACGGCATATTGGCACGTCCAATATGCGTGCCATGTTAGGCACAACAATAGGCACAACTTCGTCCCAAAAATTGTGGGCATTTCAACTGGCTCCACATTTGGCACAACGAGAGCCGTGCCATAGTCGGCAGATCAACGTTCGTGCCAAATCCCGTCCGAAGTAAACGGAAGCGAAACCCGGTAACGTTGCCGTTATAACCTTGGCACGACTTTAGCAGTGCCAAAATTTTTCCGTTTGAGGACGTGCCCAAGGCCGTGCCAAATCTGTTCCTATGCCGGGTCTAAATACTACCGTTAGCATGGCCGTGCCATAGCCGTGCCAAATGTAGTGCCAAAATGTTACCGTTGTCGTCGGCTTGCATATGTCATGCCTGCGCCGTGCCAAATCCGTACCTATGTTCGAACCCAAATATTACCGTTAGCCAGACCGTGCCATGGGCGTGCCAATTTATTGTGCCAAAATACAACCGTTGTCTAGGGGTGCCAATGCCGTGCCTAAAATCGTGCCAAAACGTTACCGTTGCCGGAGATGTGCCAAAATGCCGTGCCAATAAAGTGGCCGTTGGGAGGTAAATCAGCTTGGTGCCTAAGTCCGTGCCTATGTCCGTGCCAAGAATTATTTATAAATACCCATCCTTTTTTAGTTTTGTACTCACACTCAATTTTTCTTCATAGTTAATGATATAGAATGATGAATATGGATTTGCAAAGAGATGTTGCCTATGCTATATGTGGATGTTGAAGTGAACATTGTGCATTGGATTTTCTCGGAAGAATTTATATTTTGTGTCCGTTCGTAGGTATGTTTTTTCTCATTATAATTTTTTAATTTATTTAAGATCTAATTCTTTAGTTAGATTGATTTTTAATTATCTTTTAATATTGTAAAATAGTAGGGGCGGACAAAAATACCGAACCGGCATGGTACCGAACTGGACCGGTATGGTACCGGACCGATAAATGGGGTTTGAAACGGATCTCAATTTTTTTGCCCCGAACTGGACTGTACCGGTTCCAAACAATGCCATGACAGGTTCTCATAAAATGAGAACCGGTACCGGACCGAACCGGACCGAAGTATAGTTAAATTATTAAAATTTGTACTATTATAGTTTATCTAAAATTAATTTACTCTGTATTAGTTACCTTATCCGTCCCAAATTGATTTGCAAAGTCAACATTTTTTATCAATGTTAATGTTAAGTCCTCCCTAATGATAATTAATAATCCGTACAATTTTTAATAATTAAAATTTACATATGTAGAAACCAGATTTAAATATCTTTAAAGTTGCAAAATCCGTCACGAAGTATTTTTTTTCTAAAAGGCCAAATTAGAATATAATAAAAAAAGTGAAATCTTAATTAAATGAATAATAAAACTATTAAATGAAATATGAAAATTGTTAAATTGTGTGGATTTTTGGAAGATACCTAAACTTTAATTTTTCCTTAAACACTTTGAGAAAGTGGCATTATTTGGCATTGGTATGGCATGACACCGTCCCGTTTGAAAATGGACCGTACCGAACGGGTTTAGGTTTAAGACCGAACTGAACCGAACCGTTTCAATAGTAACGGTACGGGTACGGGTTCGGCCAAATATTGGACCGGACCGGACCGTGCCCACCCCTATGTAATAGCATTGTATAATAGCACGCATTAAATTAATTCACACACTAATTTTAAAACGTAGTTGTTAAAATAGTAATTTTATTATCACTACCCAAAGAGTGCGTTATAGGCACGGATATTCGTTATATCATGCATGTGTTGAATTATGAGTATTATGAATGAGCTTACTATACTCGTGGTTTATAATTAGAAGGTTTACTGGTTGAATGTACTTGCTTAGTCAATAAATAAATAATTCCTTAATTTTTTTTATATTCAGGCACAATGAATAGAGAAAATAGAAATTGGATGTACAATAAATATGTTGACAATGGTAGAGGATTAACAAACGAGTTTAAGAATGGAGTTATTGAATTTGTTAAGTGGGCACAACAACAAACACAGTACATGGACGGAAATAAGATAAGATGTCCGTGTAAGGAGTGTAAAAATAACAAATTCTTGCTTGGTGAGGACGTGTGTTGGGATTTATATACTCATGGTTTTATCGAAAACTATTACAATTGGACTTCTCAAGGAGAACCGATTGAGACATGTTATTTGCCTCAACCTGTGGGAACATCTTACTATGTTCCCGATGAGATGGCTGCGTGGGGAAATTATGCAGATATGGAATGGGAGCAAAGAATGATTTATGATTTGGTTGGTTCTTCTGCATTTCCCAATAACCATCCGGATACCTATCCGAATAATGATTTCACCGCACACAGTAATGCGGGTGAGGGACCTAGTTCATATTTTTATGATGTTGATGCGTTAGGCACGCGATTTCAAGATGTTCTTAAAAGTGCGGATCAACCATTGTATTCTGATTGTGATGGTCATTCGCAGCTATCTGCGGTTTCTGAATTTTTGAATATAAAGTCCGAATATAATCTGTCTGAGAATTGCATGTCCAGGATACTTGACTCAGTTGGTAGCATGTTACCACGTGATCATTCTCTTCCCGACACGTATTACAACATGAAAAAATTCGTCTCTGAATTGGGTCTTCCTATGATTAAAATCCATGCATGCCCCGGAGGATGCATGTTATTTTGAAAAAATGACGAGGGATTGACCCGTTGTAAATTTTGTAATGAGGATAGGTACAAGCCTATGTCAGCAATGAGCCACAAACCACGAAAACGATCTGCAGCATCCAAATTGATATATTTGCCTTTAGCACCACGTTTACAAAGATTGTATGCGTCAAGTGCTACCGCTAAATACATGACGTGGCATGTCGAGCATGACACAGAAGAAGGATTAATGTGTCACCCATCTGATTCAGATGCATGGAAGCATTTGGACCGATGTTATCCTGAATTCGCTTTCGAACCACGCAACGTTCGTCTTGGGTTGTGTGCTGATGGTTTTGCCCCATATGGTCAATTTGGCGGACAGTTCTCATGTTGGCCAATTATCATCACACCGTATAATCTGCCTCCGGACATGTGTATGAAACAACATTTTATGTTTTTATCGTTGATGTGTCCGGGACCTGGTAATCCTAAGAAACGAATTGATGTGTACCTACAACCATTGATTGAGGAGTTGAAACAACTATGGGATGTAGGTGTTCCTACATATGATGTTACGACAGAGCAGATATTTAATTTGAGAGCTGCGGTTTTATGGACAATTAGTGATTTCCCAGCATATGGAATGCTATCTGGTTGGAGTACCGCAGACCTTATGGGGTGTCCTGTTTGTATGGAGAAGTCAAATGCATTTTGGCTCAAAAATAGCCGCAAACCATCTTATTTTGATTGTCACCGCAGGTTTCTCCCTCAAAACCATCCATACAGAAAGGATAAAAAGTCTTTCCTGAAGGGGCGCGTTGAGCGTGATCCTCCACCTCCGAGGTTGACAGGATATCAAATTTTGAATCGTGTTCAGCACATTCCTTCTGCCATAGATGAACCTCTTGAGTATCCATATGGATATAAGACTGATCATAAATGGACCAAAAAAAGTATTTTTTGGGAATTACCATACTGGAAAGATCTACTCATTAGACACAATTTGGATGTAATGCATATTGAGAAAAATGTTTTTGATAACATTTTCAACACAGTCATGAACTTCAAAGGGAGAACCAAAGATGGTCTATCATCCCGAAGGGATATAGCTTTGTATTGTGATAGACCGGAAATAGCTATGGGCCCTGAATATGAAGGCCCCTACAAGAAAGCTGTTTACCAAGTGACGGTTGAACAAAAGCAAAAAATATTGGAGTGGCTTATTCAGTTGCGATTTCCAGATGGATACACATCCAACTTCAAGAGAATTGTTGACTTAGAAAAGTTGTCAATTAAAAATATGAAGAGCCATGATTGTCACGTAATCATGCAACGTTTACTCTCAGTTGCTCTGAAGGAAAATCTTCCGGCCAATGTATGGGCGTGTATTGTTGATGTTTCCCAACTTTTTCAGTTAATATGTTCGCCTGTACTTAACAAAAAAGCTCTTGAGGACCTTCACCGCAATGTTCCGACTATAATGTGTAATCTCGAAAAAGTGTTTCCTCCATCCTTTTTTGATGGAATGGAGCATCTACTTATCCATCTTCCATGGGAAGCTAGAAGAGGAGGTCCACCATTTTATAGATGGATGTACAACTTTGAGAGGTAAATATTTGTTCATTTTCACCAATTTTTATACGTATATTATTATGACATAATTACATTTGTTCAATGTTGTTAGGTTTTTGCGGGAACTGAAAAAGAAAGTGACAAATAAAGCTCACGTCGGAGCTTCTATCTGCCAAGCATACCTCACGGAAGAAGTTTCTACATTCTCTTCTTTCTATTTTGAAAGAGATGTGATTACCAGACGAAAAAGACCAGCTAGAAATGATGACATTGATGAGGGAATGTATGAGCAAATGGTATCAATTTTCAACTATCCTGGCAAAGGTTATGGCAGACAAACACATCGTCATGTTGTCGGAGATGAGTTCCGAATTGCACACACCTACATTTTGGTGAACTGTCCCGAAGTTATTCCGTATTACAAGTGCGTGACTATTTTATAAACTAGCACTTTATTAATCATTTAGTATTTAGTAATATATATATATATATATATATATATATATATATATATATATATATATATATTTATAATATTCTACATTGCAGTGACTTCAGAGAAAATCTTTCCAGTTCCGGTTACGGGAATGAGGACATTGATCATTTCATCAACACTGACTTTGCAAGATGGTTCAAGCAGACGGTACATCATTATATTACTTCATAAAATACATTATTTGTCCGAGTAATTTTTTTAAATAAGCTAATTTTGACATTTGGCACAGATACTGAGTGAAGCTGCCACAGGGACTATGGACCCATTTTTGGAATCACTAGCATGGGGGCATGAAACTTTAGTGAAGTGTTGGTCTGTCTATTTTGTCAATGGTTACAAATATCATACCCGAGCCTATGGAAACAATAAACCCACAATGAACAGTGGAGTGTGTGTCCCAACGTGCAGTTTCGATAACTCAGAGACTGACTTTTTTGGATATGTTGACGAGATACTAGAGATGAAATTTGCAGGTGAAAAGGAGTTATCGATTGTACTTTTCCGATGCACTTGGGTAGATCCCGTGAGGGGGGTGAGAAAAGACGACATACACAATTTACGCGATGTGAATCATGCGCGAGCATATCAGAAAAACGAGCCATTCATTTTAGCTCAACAAGCTGCCCAAGTTTATTACGCAGAATATCCGACAACAAAGCAGAGAATATCTCCTTGGGTGTGCGCTTGCACAATTAGACCGAGAAAAGTCGTTTCTCATGCAATACATAAGAATGTCGATATTGACATTTACCAACAAGAGTTTTTTCTAGCTCCAGTTCCACAAACTATTGACGAGGAAATTATTTTGGAAGATTTTACTGGGGCAGAAATAGAACCTGATCCCAACGACGGCAACGATGACCCCAACGAAGGAAGTCAATATGAAGAGGATTGGAACTTCCAGACGGAAGATACAGATGAAGATGACTACATTGACAATACCGACCCAGATACTGAAGATGAAGATGAATGAACAATTGTAATTTGTAGCTGTTTTGCAATTTTGAATTCTGCTTCTCCTGAATAATGTTTTGTATTTCGTATTGAATAATGCAAATTATTTCGTCTTAATTTCGTCATAATTACTAGTTAATAAAATAGTAATGGACTCAGAGCCCGTTTGGTAGCAAGAAAATCGGTTGTTTTGGATGATTCTGCTGAAATTTATGAAGTTCCGGCTGAAGTGGCTGCATTGGTTGATTCTACTGATTTAAGAAATATATTTTATTAATAAAATAAAGAAAAAAAGATGTGTAAAAATAGCTAAAATGGTCATCTGCGGTAACTTCAGCCAATAAAGCCAGAAAAGTAACTTCAACCTTACTTTTTCTGCTTATTACGCAAACTAGCGCGCGAAAACAAAAAAACAACCTTACTTTTTCTACTTTTACATGTTTGGTGAAAAAGTTGACTGATAAGCCTGATAAGCCGAAAAACAGTGTTGCCAAACGACCTCTCAAAGTAACTTATGTTCAATTTTTAAACATAAAATACCACGACATTACATTGTAGTAACTACTAATTATATTTTTATAAATCAATTTAATTTTAATAAGATTTTGAAAAAATCTCATTTAATATTCAAAGGAAAAACCAAACTATTTGAAGTAGAAAGTTCGACACTTTTAATTTGGCACGGATCGGTTGTGCCAGGTTTGTCCCAAATGGTGTCAGCCTGACAATTCTGACGAGCGGCTGGAAATTGTTTTGGAACTTGTGTAAAAGTAATGTGACCGTTTCCTTCGGCATGGAGCATCCGTGCCAGGTGTGTCCCAAGAAGTTGGAAGAATCCCGAATATTTGTTCGCAAGTCCCTTCCGTGCCTAAGTACTGCGCTACACATTTATTTTATTAATCTTGGCACGGCTATGCGGTGCCAAAGACTAATGATATAAAACCAACCCTTAGACTTAATTTATCGTTTCTGCACAAATCCCCTCTCAAACCCTAACGCTGCCCCATCTCCCTTCGATACCTTCTGTCCGCCGGCGTCGTGAATAGTCCAGCATCTTCGACCCCGACAACCGGAATCCGTCGTGAGGTCATGTATCTTCTCTCCTGTTGCTGTATTTTTTTCTTTTCATCTTTTCAGTGAACTCTAAGAAACATAACTCAGCGAATTGGGAGCAACAAAACCTTTTTCCTTCTCATTTTATATATTTTCAGAATTAACTTTTCTGTTCATGGTGTGGTTGGGTGTAGTATGACTAGCGGTGCCAGAAACTCCGGTCTTGGAAGAGGGCGTGGAAGAGGTGGAAGCTCCCATAGCCGGCCTCGCTCTGAAGAATCACTTAGGACCTCGATTGGCTCGCATTCAGCACAAGGCGTTTTCAATCGTGGCCCATCTCCAGATGTTACCTCACCGAACAGAAGAGGAGATGCCGATGGTTCCTTATCTCGTAATGGCGAAGAAGGTTCCAATTCCCGTGCTGCCGCGGTGCCTAACCCGAACAACCCCTTGATTACACCAAAGGATATGCTTTGGTTAGTAACCTAAACGAGTTAATATTTTAGTTGTTCTTACCTAGTTTATTTGAGTTCATCAAATGTTTCTTTCAACTAATCTGTCATATAACTTATATAGCTGTTCTTACCTAGTTTCTTCATTCCGGGTGCCCTTACTAGAGCTACAAATAAATCAAGCTTCTAGTGACCCATTCGGTTATCAATTCAATTAAAAGAACTTTTTAAAATAAACAAACCAAACTCAAGTTTGATAGTATTTGGCTTGTTAGCTAGGGAGCTAGCTCATTCTAGTTTATTTCAATATCTTTTCTTATTTTTAGCATATAATTATCTCATGTTCGAAAGAACGTAAAAGCTTTAGTATACATGGTAATACTTATTTCAAAATATTAACTAAAGTATTGGGTAATTCCATTATTGAATTTAGGGAGTAGTAAAAGTCGAATTGATGATATCAGGTGGCTTTGCTCACTAAACGAGTTTGAACTTGATTTCCTAATAAGTTTGAAAGTGATGATTCTCAGAGGAGCAAAAAAAATCGGTTCCCAAGCTATAGGCAAAAAATTTGATTTAAAGTTGGGAGATTTACCCAAATAGGAGTAATTAAAGTCTTAATTGTTAAAATAGGACTAATGTTAAAAAATTCCTCAAATAGGAGCATTTATTTGAAGTTAGACCAAAATACCCCTGAACCTGGACACAACATATCGTCACATACAGACCGCCGGAACAGCCACCGCCGGCCACCGGCTGCCGCAAACCGCTGCCACATCCTCAAAACTAGCCGCCCATGTAGATCCGGCCGCCGCTGCAGATCCGGCCGCTGCTGTTGCAGATCCGGCCACCACCGCCGTAGATCTAACCAGAGTTGGCCGCCACCGGCCACCGACAGCAAATCCGCCCACTGCTACTGCACTTCCAACCGCCATTGCTGATGTGGCCAATAAATTCAACAGAATGCCAACATGACTCTAGAATGCCATATTAATGGCATTTTTAAAGAAAAATAGGAATTTTTTGAAGAGTAAAAATGCCATTTTAATGACATTTTGAGAGAAAAATTTGGCAATTTGAATAACCAAAGAAGAAGATCGATGGACATTGTTACTCACTCCCTTCGTTACTTTACGACCAAACAGAAGATGAACATGAATCAACGACCAAACAGAAGATGAGAAGGAGGAAGGAGGGAGAAGAATGAGTTGCTTTACAGATCTGGATCAGAAATTGCTACTCACTCGCTTCGTTGCTCGCCGTCGCCACTTTCCGCCGTCGCTCGCTGCCCCTGAAGACCTCGTTGTTGAAGGTTTCCAATCGGAGAAGATGAGAGTAGAAGAAAACTCATCATCTGGCAACCTGAAATATGGAACAGATTAGAGAAGAATAGCTGGTGTGGAGGAGAATTTAAGATTTGGAGAAGAAAACGTAATCTGCCAGGCATGAATAAAATTGGAATGAAAACCAGCTGGGGCGTGGAGAAGGAAATGTCTGGGCGGAGGAGAATAATGCACGTAGGAGTGTATGAGGGGTAAATTTGGAATAATTGTCCTATTTAGGGAATAAAACTTATCTACTCCTATTTGAGAATTTGAACCCTAGTTTAGTTCTACGGAAGGCAATTTTTCCTTTAAGGGAAAGTTTCTTCGTGCTCTCAGTTTTATTTAAATGAACAAACTTATAATATGGAACTGAAAAAACCACCATATATATCCAAAAGAAGTCATTACTATGATAATGTTTATACTGATATGGCATGTTCTCTATTTCTGATTTTGCCCGATGAGAATACGCCCGTTTGATAAACCGCCGATCAGCCTTTTTGGCTTTTTTGATGGACTGATCATGTCAAACAACTACTTTAGTGTTCGGTAAATGACTTTTGAATTCGGTGTACTGTACTTATATTGCTTAATGGATAACTTAAGTGCTTAAAAAAGGTCCATTTTTTGTTGTTTTAGTGTATGGACTATTGGATATTGAGCTTTGAGTAATACTTGCAGAGTTTCTGCTATTTACTCTGAAGCTGTGGAGATTATGCCAATCATTTTAGTCAAATTAATGCCTGCTGAAGTGTTGGTAACAATTTTAGTCATTTTCTGCTATTGGATGTTGTTTAAGTCATATGAACTCTGGTATTTTAGTCAACAATTGCTTACTGCTAAAGTAAATCAACATTTTTAAAAGCAGATTTGTCAACCTTAGTTAATCTACCCAAAAGAGGTAGCAAATTTGGTTAATTTATGTACTGACAAATGACAATTTAAAATTGGGCATTTGATTGTTACTAAGCACTCTCTAAATTGTACATAGCCAAAACTTCAAGAGAAGATAATGAAGAACATTTGATAAATTGATACTCATTAGTTGGGGCAATTTCAGGCATGTTTCATAGTGGCATACACCTAGAGCTTTAAAGCTTTTCCTAAACTTTATTCATTCTGTTTTGTTGAAGATGATGATTTGTGAGTTTAACCTTCATGTCCATAGGAAATACTCTGTATCAGTACTCCGTAGTCCATACATTATAGGCTTGTAGCTGATGTAATGGACCATTAGTATCAATTTAAAGTTTATTATAGGTTCTGTCAATTACGATTTTAAACTATTTTACTGTTTTATACTATGTGTTTAAAACTATGTGTATTAAACTATTTAAACTATTTTCTAATAAATGTTTTGCTATTAAATCGAAAATGAAAATAAACCAATAAACCAAATAACTTAAAATCAATTGAAACTCAAAACAGTTTTTTATCTTTTGTATTTTTATTACAGTTAACATGTTTTGTATCTTTATGTGTTAGCATGTCCTGGACTTTAGGGATCAATCATTTATTTGAAAACATAAGTGTGTATAATGTAAAAATGAACATGCAGCAAGCAATTTGTGCTGACCAGAATTAAGGAGATAATAATGGGAAATTTTCACGGGCCTTGGACTTCGTTTCAAAATGCTTCGGAAGAGCAGCGAAATCGATGGTGGTTTTTGTTTACGGTAACTGATTGAATTTAATTGAATTAATAAGTTTTGGTGTTTGCTATAAAATCTAAGATGTTTTGTTTTAATTTTTATTTGTGTGTATTGTATTAGAACTCATACCGATGGGATCCTCGGCTCAACATAAAGATGAGGGAGCTGTTTGAGTCCCGGGGCTCTCATTGGTTGAGTAAGAAGTTAACGAAGCATAGAGGAAGCGATGTGAAGCCAGCCTTGAAGCCAGATTGGGTTGCGGATAATTATTGGCTGACAATGACAGTATATTGGGCCAGTGACGAGTTTAAGAAGAGGAGTACTGTTGGAAGTAAAAATAGGAATACGCCTGCTGCTATCCAGTCTCAGTACAGAGGTGGTAGAAGTTGTGTGGATGCACATGCTGAAAAATTGGTAAAAATAGTCATAGTTGTATTGGTCTTTTTTAAATTAAAATATGTAATTAATTAGTATCTTCTTCAATTCAAGGCCGTGGAGTTGAATCGGGATCCGCTCTCTATTGAAGTTTATGAAAAGTGCTATGTCCCCAAGACGGGTGATCCGCCGCCTCGTGTTCAAGAAGTTCTTGTGAGTAGTTTTTATTTAATGTTGCCGTTATAAATTTTTTTTATGCAATGTATTAACTGTTTTCTAATTTTTTTAGAGAAAGTACAATGACCTGAAGGAGCAAGCTGCCAGTCAATCGGATAGTCAAATATCCGCAGTCGAAGACAATGATCTGTTTTTGAAAGCCACGCCAAAGTACAAGAGCCGCCGGTTCGGGCATGGCAGTCGGGCTAAAACTACAGTGCTGGAATCATCCTCGGTGATCGGCCCTTCTGGTCCTACTCCTGAAGAAGTTGAAGCAATTCAACAGAAATTGCAGGCCCAAAATGATAAAATACTTCAACAAGAAAAAAAACAGCAGGAACAAGATGCTCAAATGGCTGCTATGTCGGGTTGCTTTTCTGCTATTTTACAGCAGTTAAAAACTACTAACCCCAACATAGTGATACCCGAGTTTCCCTTCCAGACTCAGCCAACCCCGACTCAGCCAGCCCCGACTCAGCCAGCCCCGACTCAGCCAACCCCGACTCAGCCAGCCCCGACTCAGCCAGGTGAAATGAATGTTGATGAGTTTTTCGCTGATGAGTTTCCCACTCTTAATGGTCTGTAATGTTAATACCTCCCTCCCAATGATTTGAAATTTAGTACCTCCTTCCCAAACACTTATTTTTGCTGTTTTTTCTGGATTTATTGGGGAGATCGTGATGGATACTAATATTCAATGTTGATGATTTCAATGCTGATTTTTTGCTTGTTTAATATGTTTGGTTGGAATGATGTTTACTGGTTTTTTTTGTATGAAGTTTGTGTGGTTGGAATGATGTTTGATTGTTAGAGTACCTTACCTTTTTTTGTATGAAGATTGTGTTGGGTTGAATAATGTTTCTGATACAAAAAAATTGGTCCATATATCTATATGGATATACGTGTATATCTATATCTATATATGGGCCATTTTTTTTTATAATTAATTTCAATTTGGCACGGCTTCTATGTGCCCATGTTTAAAACCACATATCAAAGATGGCATTCTTGGCACATTACCTCTGTGCCAACATTCAAAAAATTCATTATAGCTGGAAAGAATTGGCACGACTTCAGCGTGCCACACTCAAACTTTTTAAAACGAGGACATACCGTTGGCACAACGTCCCCGTGTCAACATTCAAACCTCTCCTAATTTTGGCTCCTAAAATGGCGTGCCAAAATTCAAATTTATATGCGAGAGTTGGCACAATTCTCGCCGTGCCAACTTTTAACAGAAACTTAAGAGTGATTCCGTCCATCCTTTTGGCTCTGTCTCATCTGTGCCAGACGTCGTGCCTACATTTGGCACGGCATAAATACGCGTGCCATTTGATTTGGCAGGCCTCAGGTGGCACCCCTTCAGTGTTTGTGCCAACGCCGTGCCAATAACGATAGGCAGGGCAAAAAACTGAAAGCTGCCGTGCCAAATGTTGTGCCAAATAGACATTTTTCTGGTAGTGTTCATTTACTAAGTTCATGTGAAAATATAAAAAGTGTATCATCCAATTGTTCAATATATAGAAAAAGTAACGTTCTTCTTCTTTGTTCTAGGTTAAATATTATTTCTAATTTAATTTATAGTTGAACCGTAAGAGCTAAAATTTAAAGGAAAAGTTGATAGTAATAATCCCAAATTTAAATCATACTAGTATTAATTAAGTTGTACAATTGCACAAGAATGATACAACAAAAAGTCATATACACTACATTACTAGAAATGAATAGTCATTAATGATTTTTAAAACTTTAACATTCTTTAATACATACCAAAATGTAACACAAAATTATTCAAAAAGAAAAAATAACAATATACATATAAACACACACATTTAGCTATTTTAGGAACACATGAATACATATTTGGGTATAAATTTGTTGGTCTATAAAATATATTTATTGGTATGGAAGAAAATATAAAAAAATTCAAATGCAATATATTTAAACGGTCCTGTCCGGTTCTTTTCGGTTCTCAAAATCTAGGACCGATCCCATACCCGTTTCATACGGTACGTTTTTAGTTCGGGGTAAAGATATATAGAACTGTTTAAATACCCGATATTTGGTACGGTACCGTTACGAAACGGTTCGATACCGGTTCGAGTTTTATGCCCATCCCTAGTTTTACCGGCATCTGACCTTACTTAACGGGTTGCTCATTTATTAGGCATCATCTTCTTTGTATTTCTCATTTAGTGATATCTGAACTTATTCTAATATCACAATCAAGTATAAAGTCGGCCTAAATATAAAGAAAGCCGCCATCAACGCAAATTCAATGAAACAAAGTGCTCATGAAAACAAAGTACTCAATCAAATTGACAATTAATCAATATATCACCATCCCTTGTACGGAGTAATTTTTTTAGGAATATGTGTTTTGTTCTTACACAAGCCGGTGACAATTTAGTTTTATAATAGTGGCTAATTATTAATTTGTGATTTTAATATTTCATTCTGCAATTAAACTGTTAGCTAGGTTTTCGGTTTTTACTCTAGACGATTTTTACATAAGAGTTCGTTCGTTTGATTGTACATTAAAATTTTGCACGCGTAAAAATTGGGTTGAGTCAAAATAAAAAAATTTCAGATTGTTTTTTTAAACAAAATTTTACACAAAAATACAAGCATTTTAATGAGAAGAGGGAGTCTGATGAAACGGTTAGCAACACAAGAGGGGGTGTGAATTGTGTGTGTGGAACCATGACGGTTTTTCGCCGAGTTCTAGTGTAGGAGAAGGAGAAATGCGAAGTAGTAAAGTGCACAGGTATTTTACGAGGAAAAACCCTTGGCTCAAAGGGATTAAAAAACTTCGACCTGCCTCGGAAGAATTTTAAACAACTTCACTATAAAGCCTTTGAAAGTTTACAAGGATAACTCTCCTAGTCTACCCTTGAGCCACCCCTAACTCTATCCTCTCTAGGAAGAGTTTCGCATCTCTACCTTGCGGGTAGAGAGTCTCTCAGCTTTATAGCAAAGCCCACAACACACTTACCCAACCCGAGGAAGCTACACTTAGCTAGTCCTCAAAAACCCAATTACAATATAAGAAGTGAATAAAGAAACTCTATCTAGAACTCCATGTGAGCAGTTTCAGGTGTCTTGGACTTAGTATTTTCTTGAGTGTCTCTTATGATCCTTTTCTCGGTCAAGCACTCTTTTTTCCAATTAGCTGCTCGAATATATAGGCCGCATAAAGCGAGTCCGTTAAAGCTTTCGTTGTACTATCGTATAAATGATTCTTGCCTTGATAACTTTTGAAAAACTTTCCATTTAGAACTTTGCGTCAAACGTTCTTCTATGGACTCATAAATCAAAGAATAATCGATATAGTGAAGCAAGGAAATAATTTATTCTTCTACCATAATGAGAGCATCACGGATCAAGTCAGCAGATGTCTTTAATCAAACACTTCAAATAAGTTTAATTAAGGATAGTATTTCAAATTGTATGGTAAGCAGATATTTACTATATCAAGTACACGCCACTTTTCCATAAGGCAAGATACTAACTAGGATATTCATTTACCATTACCAAGTATACTTATCATGAAGGAGTTTCGGTCAACTTATTTCAAATGCGGCATTAATATTTAAAGACACTTTCCAAAAGTTATATGTCTAATCATGCAATCACGTATGGAAAGATATCACACAAAAGACATAACCATGCAAGCATACATTACAATCCATATAGACCTAAGTTATATGTCCAAGTAGTATAGTAGTTCTAACCAACGTCCACCTGCATGGTTAGTTAGCAATTAGTGCACAAGCGAATTATAGACCAGTTCATGTGAATTATAGACCAGTTCTGTCCTTCGTTCTTGTATGGTTAGTCATCAACAAAACTAAATATTCAACAGAGTCATATTTGAGAATTAGGGTAAGAATGGGTGTAGGAAAGCCTCGGAAAAAGGGTTCTACCCTTAAGAAAGGTGGCATTGAACATTGGGTGGATTTCAAATATGAAAAACTCCATAATTTTTGTTTTATTTCTGGGGTGATTGAGCTATTTGAGCATTATGAATTTATGATAAATTCTGTCTCTTAAAATATGAGGAAGATATAATGTTGGAAAAATCTTTTGGGGTAGAGTTTCAAGCTGGTGGTGGGGTGAAGACCAATCCTACAGGGAGTAATAAGTGGTTAGTGGGTAATTCCTCAAGCTCAGGGGCAGCCAGACAACAGAGGAAAACAGATCAAGAGGGTGAAGGGACAGAGGCCAGGGTTGGCGTGAGTTCACAATGAGCACATGGAATAGTGTTACCAAAAAAGGTGATATAGGCAGTACTGAGGAGGTGCCAGGGGACCAAAAGCGCAAGAGGATTTGGGAAGAGCAGCCACAAGAGGATCCAACAGGCGAGAGCATGTCTCTGGATAAACCAAAAAACGAGGAGGCTGGGCGGGTCCGGGCCTCTAGACCCGCCGGATGTGCGAGTGGTGTTCCTGCTCAAGAATTCAAATTTTGGCTTTTATTTTCTTGTTATCTTGCTTTTTAATTCCCACGTTGAGACTGTTTTTTTTTGTTTTTCCTTTATTTTTTGTTGTAAGACTCTTGCATTAGGATTGAGTGATGAAAGGTTTGCGGTAACCGTCTTTGGCTCAATTATGCCCGGGTTAGGATCAACGAGTTATATTGCTTTGTCAAAGGTGATTGATTAACTCTCAGTCTGGTTCAAGAGCGGATGGTTACATGTGGTTCTTTTGTTATTTTAACGCCTATCTGAATGCTATGATATCAATCTAAGCCCCTTCTTCCAAAAAAAACTCGGGATGGATCGTGCTCCGTTCAGACTCTATACATTTGCCCCTGGTTTACAAAGTTTTAGAAAATACAGAGTAATTACTTTGCATATAAAATAAAAGTATATTGTTTGATTAGACGTGTACTTTATTTGAAATTACTCACGAAATCATTGCAAATCTTTTTAAATAGCATGTAAAGTATTTTATCACTTTCTCCTCACATGAAATACTTTACACGAATAGAATATTTGATTCACTGTTTTTTCGGAGGAAGAGTTAGGGGTCTTGTAGGGTAAGCGACAACACTTCTTTGATCGTTGCTCTTGAGGAAGATGTCGAGTTTTTGGTTCGACAATTATGGTAGGAAGTTTCGGCTTCGAGTTTTTGGTTCGACAATTATGGTAGGAAGTTTCGGCGAGGAAGACTTCAGTTGTTTGAGTAAGGACAAAATCAACGTGCAGTATTAGAGCTTCTGAGGTTTCAAGGATTCATTCAGATGTAGGAGCGCTATGTTTTTATTTTCTAAATAGGAGTAATTATTGTTAAACTCATAAGATACTGCTATGTTTATATCCCGATAATGTCAAAGCATGACAATTATTACTCCTATTTAAGAAATAAACACATAGTAATTCTATTTGAGAATTAGTTACTTCTATTTAAGACATTTTTTACTCTTCTCAATCCATTGATTTTGCCAACTTTTTCTTTTTATTAAAAAAAAAAGGCTAAAAAACTTTATCAACTTACTTTATTAGGAGTACCTTTTAGTAGATATAAGGTCGACACAGGCTCTTGCCTGTTGCTGCGATGATTCATGATCCCTTGACGGATCGCATGATCATAGTGCCGACAACCCAGGATTCAAATTTCTGCCCTATCAATTTTCGATGATAGGATAGTGGTCTACCATGGTGGTGACGGGTGACGGAGAATTAGGGTTCGATTCTATAGAGGGAGCCT